GCCACTGTGTGAGACTGGATGCTGGACTAGATGGTCTGATCCAGCAGGGCTCTTCATATGTTCCTACTGCCCTATTTCAGTGTAACCAACAAGAAGAACCCCGTAATGGTTCTATGTTTTGGTGTGTGTCTCTCTTTAAATGTTGAGTTTGACTGCAGTACTGTAAGAAGAGTGATAGAGGGAGATAAGTGTATTGTGATTAGCTGCTGACTGAGAGTGTGGGAGGAGATGTTCTGAGAGGAGTCTGTGTGTGTGTCTATGAGTGATTCCTTGTTTGGAGAGAGACAAGTATGGAAGAGTTTTGAAGAGAGTCTGTGTGACAGAGAGTTTTGAAGAGAGTCTGTGTGATTAAGAGTTTTGTGAGAGAGTCTATACGGCAAAGAAACAAGTTGCATCTAAACTGTGTGGTTGGACAAATGTTTTATCTTGTGTGCCTAAGACCAAGAGTTTAGCCTGTGTGGCTAGATAGATAGATAGATGATAGATATAGATATATATAGATATATATCTATATATATAGATAGATATAGATATATAGATAGATATAGATAGATATAGATAAATAGATAGATATAGATAGATAGATATAGATATATAGATATATAGATATATAGATATATAGATGAGAGAGAGAGAGAGAGAGAGAGAGAGAGAGAGAGAGAGAGTGTCAGAGTGGAGTTTTGGGAGTTTGAGAGACTGTTTGCGACATCAAGCTTTGCCAGTTATATCTACAACTTCCTTTCATCAGCAACAGTTCAAAATAACCAGAAACATATTTTGTTCATTATTAAATAAATCATTTTTGTTTAAAGGTATCCCAGAAATCAGAATAGTCCTTCCTCAGGGCCACATAGTCCTCTGAAGTGCCCAGACCCTAGGTCATTCTACCAAAAGAGAGAAAATTGGAATTTTAATTCCTGGTGGCAGCAGAAATCTACCAAGTTTAGGTACACAGAGTGTGAATCAAAGAAAAACTGTCTCCCCTATAGGCAAAAACCTCACAAACCCAGCTGTGTTTCATTCATTTATTTATTTAACAATCTATCAAAACTCTATCACTTCCAGAACACAGGAGTCTTTCAGGGCAATTTCTGTCAAATCTGAGTGGACTTGTCTTCTTTACACATAGAGCATATATACCACAGCAACACTGAGAGGGGTGTGATTTGATGAAACCCAAGGGACGAGGCTCTCTCTCTCACCATTAGGACTCATTCACACTTTACAAAATCCCTACATGGAAGGCACTGCCACGTAAGAATTTGCTAAAAGAAGAAGAGAAGAGATTGGATTTATACCCTGCCCTTCACTACCTGAAGGAGTCTCAGAGTGGCTTACAATCTCCTTTCCCTTCCCCTCTCCACAACAGACACCCTGTGAGGTAGGCGGGGCTGAGAGAGCTCTCTCAAACAGCTCTGAAAGAACTTATGACTGACCCAAGGTGACACTAGCAGCTGTGAGTGGAGGTGTGGAGAATCAAACCCGGTTTTCCCAGTTTAGAGATTGCGCTCTTAACCGCTACACCAAACTGGCAGGTCGTGGTGGGGAGCAGTAGTCGACGACATTAATATTTATTTATATAATGAGGAAGATATTTGTTAGCTGCCTTCTACTTTGCGGAACCCAAGCCAGCTTACGATGTCCATAGAACAACAATTACAAAAACAGATGAAAGATCGCAATTTAAATATCTTTCACTTTCTCCCTTAAGGCCTCAAAGTGGTCCACAATCACGTTAAAATCAATCAAATACAACAAACCAGCTCTCCGTTGCCCAAGCCAAACACATTTAACCGTTACATGTCACACCCCTCTTCAATAAGCTCCATTTCTCATCACTTCCTGAACTCCAGCATGGAGGCTGACTGTCCGAACATCTTACATCACTTCCTGAACTCCAGCATGGAGGCTGACTGTCCGAACATCTTACATCACTTCCTGAACTCCAGCATGGAGGCTGATTGTCTGAATATCTTACATCACTTCCTGAACTCCAGCATGGAGGCTGATTGTCTGAACATCTTACATCACTTCCTGAACTCCAGCATGGAGGCTGACTGTCCGACCATCTTACATCACTTCCTGAACTTCAGCATGAAGGCTGATTTTCCAACTGCTGAGAGGCCACTGAACAATGGCGGAGCTAATCTTCAGATAGTTCATGCCCTACCTTATAGAAGGTGTAGGGGATGAATAGGAGGGTTTTGGAATGTGTGCAATGTTTAATTAAATATAGTGAAAGGAGATTATTTTTGATATAGGTATAAGTTTATGTTGTGGCATGTGAAGGCTTAAATTTATCATTGGTAAAAGAGAACAGTCTTGTTTTGTTAAAGGATTATGAAAAAGTATCTATGCTAATGACTGAATTAAGGCATGAGCAGGAGCAGAAGTTTATAAATATATATAACTATAAGAAGATAACACAAGGAAAAAAATATATAAAAATCATAGTACTAAGAAGCTTAAGGTCCACAACACAGATAAGAACCATGATATAGCTCTGAAGGAGTAAAAGCTTTAGCAAGAGGTATAAGTATAAGATCCTAATTAATAAAAAGTGAAGGCTATGAGAGAAAAGGGAAGACAGGACTTAGAAAGGATGTGAGTCTCTCTGTGTTGCTATGGAAAAGATAATTGTGGGGGTTCTGGTGGAGGGTGGTTGTGGTTGTTTATATGTATTTAGGTTTGTCACTGTTATGGAGGTTTGTCTTAGTAAAGTGTTGAAAATTAATAAAAATACTTGGGGGAAAAAAAAAAAAACAATGGCGGAGCTAATCTTCAGATAGCTCATGCCCTGCCTGCACTCCAGCCCGCGACAGCCTCCAGCTCACAGATTTTTGTCTTCGCTCAGGAGGGAGGGCTCCAGAGCAAACTAATTTATGCTGTAGCCAAATCGCTCGCTCACAACTTTAAAGGCAGGAGCTCACAAAGTAGAATCCTTGCTCACAAGACTCCACAGCTTACAGGGAACATTGGTTAGTACCCTAATCCTGAACCTGATCCGGTACTCCACCGGAAGCCCGTGCAGCCCCCAGGGCACAGGATGGATTTGTGCCGCGCGCAGAATCCCCGGGAGGACTCGCGCTTGCCGCATTCTGGATCAGCTGAAGTTTCCAGGTCAGACCGAAAGGGGCAGCCATACGTAGACTGAGTGACAGTAGTCCTATCTGGAGGTGACCGCGGTGTGGATTACAGTGGCTAGGCTGGGGCGAGAGAGGTCAGGGGCCAGTAGCCTGACCTGGCATAGCTCGAAAAACAGCAGCCTGGCAACATTTGCGATCGGGGCCTCCACTGACAAGGAGGCATCCACACTCACACCCGGGCTCTCACCTCATTCCCTGTGTGTTTTCAAAAATTGCTTCTCTTGTTCCCTGCACTTGGGGCTTCTCTGTGCGTATCTGGCTCCACCTCCTCTGGTGGCCATTCTGCGGTAGCACCCACCACCAGGGGTCATTTCGTAGAAAAAGAGGTGCAGGAGCTCATTAGCATAACTCATTAGCATAGCTCATTTGCATAGGCCACACCCCCTGACATCACCGGAAGTGTGTCAGAAGGCAACACCCACCGCTCAGGCTCCACTGGACTGTTTTGGATTGCTAACTATGGAGGGGGGGGGGGCAGATCTGCCCTCACAGAGGAGAGCTTGTACCTGAATAAACGTGGTCTTAAAGGTGCCACAGGGGGCTGGGGGGGGGGCCTCTGCAACTTACCTGGCTGCTTCTTGCTCTGACTGAGGGCTGCTGGGAGCAGGGGGCGGGGCTTGTTGCATGTGCCCGCCCCCTGGGCCCCTTACTGCCGGAGCTCCGCTCCTGTGCGCTCCCGCAGGAAATGACCCCTGCCCATCACCCATGTCAGAATTCCAAAACGTACCCACCAATGCTCCCTCTAAGCTGTGGGGTCTTGTGAGCAAAAATTCTACTTGGTGAGCTCCTCCTGCCATTAAAGTTGTGAACGAGCTATTTGGCTACTGCATCAATTGGTTTGCTCTGGAGCCATCCTTCCTGAGCTGAGACAAAACTGTGTGAGCTGGAGGCTAAAAAACTGTGAGCTAGCTCAGCTTAGAGGGAACACTGGTGCTCATACGCTAAAAAAGGCAGGGGACCCCCGAGCTAGAATGTGTGCGTGTACCATAATAATCTGTCAAGCTCAGGTCTTGCTTGCCAAATATTTCCTGTTTTCTTACACTCATGTGCTGTTGCATTAGGGGGTTACTCTCCCACATTTCATTATTCCATTGGTTGTGTTATGGATTCACATGGATTCTTCTACGACTCCTATGTTGCATGCAACCTTGCTCTTCTTCACTGCTGTTTATCATCTCTGCCGGGAACTGGGGAGTGGATGTGCACGGCTGTCTGCTTTGCTTGGTTAGTGCCAGCTCGTAACAGTTCTCACACGGGGCCCGCCGAGTGTGTTGAGAACACCTTGGGAAGTATATAATCTCATCGTTCTGTGTGACCTTGTAGTCTGGGGAGCTTCTAGATAAGGTAACCATTAGCTTGCAGGTGTTAGGGGCAGTTGCAAGGGCAGGGGCAAAAGTATGCCAGGCTAAATGGGAGCAATGATTGGTTGCATGGCATTTGTGGAATTTCTTGCTTTCAGTATATTGGCGGAACTGGCGTCTGGGCCCCAGTTCCGACACAGAAGCTGTCTATGCTTGGAACCTTTCTACCTCTTAATGAACAAATCTTGCTGCTACAAGAGTGTTTGTGAGAGTGATTGCATCCAGGACTTGACATAATCATTCTGAATCAACTGCAGAGCACCAGGAGAGTTCCACCCTGCTTAAAAACCTCTATTAGAGAGTGATGAACGAATATTCAGGAGTATTTTATGCACTGGGAAAACAAACAACATGATATGCCTGGGATCGACAGGCAACTTGATTTTTTCCCAGCTACAGACAACACAATCACCATTGTTTTCCACCAAATGCCGAGCGACAGAGTACAACACCTGACATCTCAAAGGAAAAGAATACATAAAAGATTACTTACCCGTAGCGGTTTTGTCGATCAAATTGTAATCTTCAACCACCGAGTCCTCGATTACGTCGCTGATTTTCTGCCACGGCTCTAACTCCTCCTCCTCACATTCCATAAACAGGTCTGTGTCCGCCATCCTGAAAAGAAGTAGGAGACACCTTCAGGTGTGTCTTCTTGAGCACGCTGAAACCGAAACCTAAGCAGAATTCTTCCCAGTTGCTCTTGAAGGCTGCTGGAACCTCATCCAAATATTATCCTGCCCCTTTTTGGATCAGGTTATGTGCCTGCACTTCATATATCAGTGACAGGCCTTCAAAGAAGCCTTGCTATAAAGACTCTTAAGATTTCTCCTCTTTCAACTCAGCTACAAGTCTACAATATGCACTAAACACGAGGAGACCTTTTGATATGTGAGATATTTGGATACATATATACATGGTGATTACCTTTATATTCATCGGAAGCTGCTTTATTGCACCACTGAAGAAGGCAGTAGAAAAGAGCAAGAGGAGGAAGAGGAAGAGGAGGAGGAGAGATTGGATTTATACCCCACCCTTTACACAGAGTCTCAGAGCAGTTTACATTCCCCTCCCCATCCCCTCCCCACATCAGACCCCCTGTGAGGTAGGTGGGGCTGAGAGAGCCCTTTTTGAGGACTGTCCCAAGGTCACCCAGCTGGCTGCATGTAGAGGAGTGGGGAATCAAACCCGGTTCTCCCAGATTAGAGTTCGCCGCTCTTAACCACTACACCAAGCCGTAGATCTTGTCCAGTGGCACCTTAAAGACTAACAAAATGTGTGGCAGGGTATGGCAGGGTATAAATCACTGAAGAAGGCAGTTAGCCAAAATGCGTTTGCCGTTTTTCGTTGTATTGTATTCTTTGACCAACTGCATATGTATAGTAGAGCAATTTTATGGAAGATTCGGGTGGGTAGCTGTGTTGGTCTGAAGTAACAGAACAGAGTCCAGTGGCACCTTTAAGACTAACAAAATTTAATTCTGGATATAAGCTTTTGTGTGCACAAAAGTTTATACCCAGAATTAAACTTTGTTGGTCTTAAAGGTGTCACTGGACTCAGCTTTGTTCAATTTTTATGGTGCATGTGTAATTTATGTGTGATTAAAACTCATTTTATGTCTTCTAAATTGTATTTATTTTGAGGTTTGCAGAGGTCTTCTGAGACTCCATTCCCCCCCCCCCAATCGATTCTTTGTGTACCTTAGGGGTACACTCTTGTTCTTAATCAGCACCTGTTGGGTCTCATTTAGCACAGCTAGATACAGGTCCTTTCCGCACTTGGATCTCATCCCTGGTTTTATCAGAGTTCAACTCGCGACACAATACCTTGCATTTATCCCTGGTTATAACAGCATCTGTTTATCCCGGGACAAGTGTATGGCGAAACCGTGGTGATCTCAATGTAATGTGGAAACAAAAAATACTCCAAGATAATTATAGGGGTGAACTCGAGTGTAGTGTAGAATGTAAAAATACCCTAAGATAATTACTGGGGTGAACTCGCGTGTAGTGTAGAATGTATCTTCGGGGACAGGGTTGAACCAGGATTTAAGGTCTAGTGTGGAAAGGACCATAAAAGTACGTGGTTTCTTTATCTTCCAACAGCCGGGAAAGTGTGGTTAAAGCTTTAACTGATGGAGACTTGTCCACCACTCCTGATATTTTGATTTGAGGAAGAATTGAAGCTTCTAGCTCGGTGTAGTGGTTAAGAGCAGCAGGACTCTAATCTGGAGAACTGGGTTTGACTCCCCTCTCCTCCACATGCAGCCAGCTGGGTGACCTTGGGTCAGTCACAGTTCTCTCAGAGTTAGAGTTCTCTCAGCCCCACCTACCACACAGGGTATCTGTTGTGGAGGGAGGAAGGGAAGGCGATTGTAAGCCACTTTGAAACCTCTTTGGGTAGAGAAAAGCAGGGTATAAAACCAACTCTTCTTCTTCTTCTTCTAGGAATTTCATGGTTCCTAAGTTCAAACTCTGCACACCAGTGGTTCCAAGAAAGAACCCCCCTCTATTGATTTGTTCCATACAGATGGCAAGAAACACAGAATCACAACATTCTTCGCATTGCCCGCGTTTCAGTTAAAGCCACATTATGTTGCTGACACTTGTACCAGAAATGTATTTTGAGACTCAGGCTACCGCTATGTATGCTTGGCGGGGGGGGGGGAGATCATGCTGCCCCACAACGAATGTAAGAACGGTGGTTGTCTGACGATTTCATCACCTTCAAAATGCTACAGTTCCCACAATTCTGGGGGAGAAGCCATGACAATTAAACCAGAAGTCCACAGTCCAAAACTGTCTTTACTTCCTGCTCCACTCTTGGTTTGGAGATACTCAATGAAAGCAAGACTTCTATCCTTTTGCCTAACCTTGTTCCTTTGTCAACTTTTACCTCTATACTGGAGAATTCATTTCACATCACCAGATGTTTTGGTCCTTTTGTCTCACAGACACTCTTTTCTGGGAGTCCTGGGTGAATTGCAAGAAGACTTTCCTTTTTTTTCTTTTTTTAGACTTGACAGATTTTAAAAAGATGGCACTGAATAAAAAAGTTAATCTTTTAGGTCACATTCAGTGTTCCCTCTAAGCTGTGTTAGTGTGAGCTGGCTCACAGTTTTTTAGCCTCCAGCTCACACAGTTGTCTCTTAGCTCAGGAAGGAGGGCTCCAGAGCAAACCAATTGATGCAGTAGCCAAATCGCTCGCTCACCACTTTAATTGCCAGTAGCTCACAAAGCAGAATGTTTGCTCACAAGACTCCACAGCTTAGAGGGAGCATTGCTCACATTTATAAATTTTTACTTCAATATGGCATAGAGACAGAACAGATCCAGAAACGGATGGTGAAATGGATGCAGAACTTCGGCAAAGAGATCTCATTTCAACAACGGGAACATTTGTGGACAAAGAATATAAGATTTACGGCTAGTCAGGCACTTAAGAGAAAATTGGTACGAGATGTTTTTTCCGCCGGTATAGTACCACGAAAGATATAGAGAGAATGGACAAAAATTATGCTGGAAAATGCTGGAAATGTACAGAGACCGATGGTACGTTTTATCATATGCGGTGTTCTTGTCAAAAGACTACTAAATATCGGAAAGAAATACATGCTGAAATGCAGAAAACCTTGAATATAAAATCTGCCACAGTACCAGAGACTATGCTATTGGGAATTTTAACTATTCAGCCGATCAGCAAGCAAGTCACAAAGTATGACAAAACATTTGAGAGGACTTTTTTTTTTTTGTCCTGTTCTTTTGGCAACCCTGGCCAGGAGAATGGCGTAAGTGCCTTGAAACTTTAATTCACCTTGCGGAATACACCTCCACGCCATTCTTGGCTAATACATGGGCAGTGATGTCATCCCGAACGACTGAGGACACGTTGGGGTTCCCTGGTACGGCTCATGATACGGTTGACAGATAAGAAGGCAAGAACGAAAGTAGAACCACGCTGGGTCAGACCAAAGGCCGATAAAGTCCAGCATTCTGTCCACACGGAAGCTGACCCACCTGCCTCTAGGAAACCCACAAGCAGCATGACGGCAACGGCATCCTCCCACCCGGGCTCCCCAGGAATGGATACAAAGAGCCATACTGCCTCTGGTACTGGAGAGAGCTAATATCCATTGTGACTAGTAGACACTGATCGCCCCGTCCTCCATGACGGGTCTATCAGCAGCTATTAGCCGTGGTGACTGAGGGGAACCTCCACATTCAGAATCACTAATCCTCTGAATCCCAGAGCCAGGAGGCAACACCAGGGGAAGGCCTCGGCCTCTCTGCCGTTGTTGGCCCTCCAGAGGAACTGGCTGGCCACTGGGTGAGACAGGAGGCTGGACTAGATGGACCCTCACTGGTCTGCTCCAGCAGGGCTCTTCTGAGGTTCTTCTCAGGGGAAGGCCTCGGCCTCTCTGCCGTTGTTGGCCCTCCAGAGGAACTGGCTGGCCACTGGGTGAGACAGGAGGCTGGACTAGATGGACCCTCACTGGTCTGCTCCAGCAGGGCTCTTCTGAGGTTCTTCTCAGGGGAAGGCCTCGGCCTCTCTGCCGTTGTTGGCCCTCCAGAGGAACTGGCTGGCCACTGGGTGAGACAGGAGGCTGGACTAGATGGACCCTCACTGGTCTGCTCCAGCAGGGCTCTTCTGAGGTTCTTCTCAGGGGAAGGCCTCGGCCTCTCTGCCGTTGTTGGCCCTCCAGAGGAACTGGCTGGCCACTGGGTGAGACAGGAGGCTGGACTAGATGGACCCTCACTGGTCTGATCCAGCAGGGCTCTTATGCTCTCCTCAGGGGAAGGCTTTGGCCTCTCTGCCCTGTTATCAGCCCTTTAGAGGAACCACTGCTCTATATCTTACAATAGCACTACAGATAAAATTAGAATTTCAACAGCCGATCCATATGCAAAAGAACCTCCTCAGGAAAGCTCCTCCATTAGCATGTCACACAGTCTGGGGAACTCCTGCAAGAGAATGACTCAGCCCTACCTCACCTTCCTGAGTAGATATAAATTACCTGCCTACCATTTTTGTTCTTACCTCGACACAGAGAGTACTCCATCTTTCTGTGTTATACCTCTGAGGATGCCAGTCACAGCTGCTGGCGAAACGTCAGGCCCTACAATGCCAAGACCACAGCCACACAGCCTGGAACATCTAAAACATCTAATGAACTCCGGCCATGAAAGCCTTTGACAACCAATCCCAGAAACATTAACACTGCCCAGATGCAGGGAATCCTAGATGCATCTCCAATCCTTACTGGGCAAACAGACCGATGGACTGACAATTGGTACCACTCGAAGATCACCAGTTACAGGTAAACAACCTGTTTTTCTGGACTGGCTTCTAAAACAGGGGCCTGGCATGGAACACTTTCTGCAGTTGTGTGGTCTCCCAGTTAAGTATTACCAATTGTCAGTCCATCGTTCTGTTTGCCCAGTAAGGATTGGAGATGCATCAAAAGAAGAAGAAAAATCTGTGTCCCCAAGTACCAGAAGTTTGGAAAACCCTGGAACAATTAAGGGAAGGGTTATTAGAGCACTCAGATTTCTATTTTATAGCCAGCTG